TGACAGCAACAACCAAATCTGTTCCTGACTCAAATGGGTTACCAACCCTCTATAGGTGACCCTGATAATTGCAAGTCTGTTAGGACATACCTCCACCTATTGCTTCTGGTTGATTCTTGAGCCATGAAGTGAGATTCCTAGTGCCACATTTAGTTGATGTGAATCACACCATCTGGATAATCAGCTTCATTGTAATTCACCCCGAGCAGTGATCCACATTGGGGTTGTTCAGATGTTGCAGGGTATTGGTTTACTGGCCTCACAATGGGCACTATTCAGACAACAATGTTGCTGACTGCTCTGATCTGAGGTGTCTGAATATACCAAGTTGGAAGAGCAAACAGGACCACCCTTTTATTTTCAGAGTAGGTAATTGTTTTCAGAACGGTGCACCTGTTACTCAGGTGTTAAGGTTACACTGTTAAATTGGTTAGATTAATTGTTTCATGGATGATCTAAACAGTTAATCTGGATTACTGCAACCAGTTTACTAATTCCTGATTGACAGCTAGTTGTTTAGGCAGAATGCACATCAGATTATTGTATAACAACATTATGATAATCGTCATAATGAACACTCATGTCCTAAGTACGCCAGCAGCATGACTCCATGTTGTAATCTCTAGGGATTTGCTCTAGTTAGACTGCTATTCTTTGGTAATACTGTATCAATTGACCGGAGTCTTCATTCCCACACAAATGCCTCCACCATCCTTCAGCATTCAGTCATCTGGATTATATGTCCAGTAATATAACACTACACCACCATAAACAGATCATTAAAATATGTTATAACCAGCCTTGAAAATAAATTGAAAGAGTTTGCATTCAAACTAATAATAGAAATGGGAAATCTGGACAACCCTTCAACAGTTTCAAGTTATCAACTAATGTTCACAAAGTGGCTGTTGGTCCTGAGCTGGACTGGAGGTTAATGCAAGCCAAGATCCAAGGTCCTGTGTTCAGGCAGTGGATGTAAAGTAGGGATGGGATATTTATGGTCTTATTAGAATAAGAAATGATATGCTGAACTAGATTTAAATCACCTAAAGAAAGGGAGGAAATGGAGAAACATTTTCTCCCAAATTGACCTAGGCCTTTTTCACCTGTTTTCTATATATTTGACAGAAAATAATATAATCTGTATGCCACCACACTGGATGTTGACTGGCATTTTTTTTGTATATACTTTTGATCGATGTCAGTGAATTAAATAGTAAGTTTAGCATCTGAAAATAAAACTGTAAGGAAAATTAACTCTGCTGTCTGCTTTAATCCTTAGAAGGAACAAGAGGAGGTAGAGGAAGAGATGAGTTCACCAATGGGTGAGTAAACTGGAGATTGTTCACTAGAATCCGCTACACACTGGATAAAGTCTTAACAGCCACAGACCAGGCAGGATCCAATTTGCTCATTATAAATGTATGAGAACATGGGCAAATATCATCTTACCCATCAAACTTGACCCAGCCTGTTAAACAAAGTCAACTTATATACTCCTCTCTCACCACATAGGAATAATGTCAAGTGGAATGGACATAGAAATATGGTCACTTCACGAAAACGCTCAGCAATTCCTCCCTTTTCAGATTCAATGTGTGTGAATGGCCTCCTGTTGCTGTACTGGTCTGTTGTCTCTCACCACGAATGTGACATGTGGAAAGTGTGGTGTATGTGCCAGCTCCATGGGTTGAGGCCACAAATGAGTTATTCTAAAAAGAGTACTCTCCTGGGTATAGGACAGTGTGATAGGGATGAAAATTGAGATGCTTGTTGCATTGAACCTTCCCACAGAACCTGTTATGGTCAAGGAGCATGGGAGGTGTCCCGCTCCCACGTGGCACAGAATTCCGTGATGAGCTTGCAATCATGTATTTACAGTGTGAAAATGGTGGACAACTTCATAAAGTACTTGTGAATGCAGCTTGGAAGTAGCATCTAGTGACCAATGCCTCAGCATCTATTTCAGGCCAGACAGAAGCCACTCAATGGCGGAGCACTGTTGTAGGTTTGAATCTAGATCATGCGATCAATGCTCATTTCCATGCTTGCATATCTTGTTGCTGTGCAGATCAAACAGCTGCAAGTACCAGTGCTGAAAAAGACATGCAGGTTCTTCTAAGATCGATCTGCCCACCAACAGGTTGCAGAAGTAACACCCTGTGAGAGCATCTCCACGGTACAAGAACCTTCTATGTTGTGTCAGGGGAACACCATTCATGCCCCTGCCCTTCAGCCAACCAGTCCACTCTTCATCCATGCTGAATTGGCAGTCTGAACTCTGAACTTCAAGGTTCAGAGCTTTGCTTGTGCGTTTATTTCAATCTTCATCCAGTTATTTGGGTCATTTGAGGATTGTCATATCTTTTGTAGATCACAGAGTACATTTCCAGGTAAATTATGACATGCAAGATCATTGCATGAAAATGCTTTATGTTGTGGTGCCAATTTTAAATGTGGTGCCATCATTCAGTGAGGCAAACAATCAGGCAGGTTTCTCTACTGTTTTGAGCCAGACACTGGATACCCATGTGCTGTCTTTGTGTTTCTTCTCCATAGCACATCCTTCACTCTCGCAAAAAATGTAAACAAAGGGAAAACTGATGTTTCTATCTATTTGAAGTGGCCTACAAGCATTTGCAATTCACTACAGATCAATAAAAAGTGCTATTCCTTTTCAGTTCCTCACACTATGATGGCTCTGCCACTTTTCACTGTCCTTGTCACACAATTTTCAGACCTTTTTGTTTTTGGTCACACTCATCCTTGTTAACTGTACTTAGTCTTGCATTGCAAGTTTAAATTAAATTACCAAGAAAGCACTGCTTCTTGAAATGACATAAGTTTAATTGAACATGAGGGGAAAATGGGTACATTTTAAAATCTTAAGAGTGAATACATAGGAGAGAAGTACATTTTAAATAGCATTTTGTACTTGGGATATCCTGAGGCCACATTTCAGTGACAAAATCTTAAGATTTAAATATGTCATAATTTTGTCAAGATAACAATAATGAAACACTAATTGAAGAACCTAGGATAGTACATTGAAACTCAAATTAGTGTCAAAACAATAAATTTTTCAACTAATACAAAATTAATATTCTTGGCCTAAAGGTATTTACAGCTTGCACAACATCTTTCAGATAGTCAAAAATTCCAAGGTAATTCACTGTCATCTTTTTTTAAGAACTCTAACTGTCATAAGGGGATACTAGGACAGATAAACAAAAGAAGGGAGGAGAAGTGGAGAGGTTTGGGAGAGGGAATTCCAGGCTGAAGCACAGCCGTTAATAGTGGAGCAATTAAAATTGGGTGCTTAGGAGATCAGGAATATTGGAGCACAGGTATGTGACGTGAGGCTGTAGATTAGAAATAGGGGTAAGGCCATGAAGACACCAAACAAGGTCAAGTATTTTAAAATCAATGCTGCTCAACTATAAGCCAGTGTAGAGTAACAAGCATAATGTGATGGAATAAAGAGACTGGATACAAAAGTTAGTGCAGAGCTTTGGATAATAACTTTCCACAGGGTAGAATGTGAAAGGCTGGTCAACAATGTGACAGAATATCTGGAGGTGACAAAAGCACTAATTAGGGTTTCAGCAGATGATGTGCCAAGGTTGGGATAGAGGGAGAAAAGGTACGATTGGAGGGATTTGAACATGCAGGTCCACAAACGATAGGACAGATTGAGGACGTGACAACACACTCGAGGACTGAAGAGGAAATGAGGGGTTGGAAATGGGGTGGTAAGTTTGAATTCAAAGGGAAAAAGGTTAATGGCAGTTATGAAAGAGAGGGGGACAGTACTTGAGAGACAATATCAGGTAACCTGAGAGCTAAAAAATGAAGAGACAACAAGGTGCAGGGCTGGATGAACACAGCAGGCCAAGCAGCATCGTAGGAGCAGAGTTGGGTGGTCAGCGGTTTCATGGGAATAGAGAGGAAGATACAGGTAGGTTTTATATACAAGATGAGCTCAGAAAGGGCAACAGGGAAGAGAGAGAAACTAGAAAAAGATGCAAACCCAGGGACAGGATAAGAGGAGCCTTAGAGGAAGCTTGGTTGATGAACTAGGTGAAAGGAAAAGAGAGTTGTCAAAGTAACTGATCAGATGGTCTGAACCTTTGATGACCAATTTTTCTGCCTCATCTGTTTAAGTTGCATCTTAAAGAGATACTGTCCAATGCCTCAGTACAGCCTTTGATAATGTAATAGGTTTAATGAGGGCACTATTTTCCCCAGAGTTTTTTTCCACTGATGATGTGGTAGATTTGAGGAAAATTCCTGTGAAATTCCCCACCCTTTCCCTCAAGCAGAGGATTACAATCTTCCCTGGACAAGCATTGTTGTGTACAGTTTTGCACCAAGTGAAGTTGTTTAAGGCTTATAGTTAACTTTTATTGTCAGTTATTTCAAATACACCCCATATAAAACTTAGTTATGATTATAGATCAAGGTCAGTAATTTGGTTAATCTTTATCATTATAAATACTGCTAGCTGGACGCTAGTAAATACACTTAAAGATCTGATTATCTTCATACTTTTGGAAACATTGGCTTCTATTTGTTAGCAGGCAGTCTAATTACATCATTACTAAACTAATCGGGAAATTACTGAATAAGTGGTGACTGAAGAATAATTTACAGAACAATACAAAGGCGAGAAATGATATAGCTGTGGGTGAAAGACTGGAATTTGGAATTAGATTGCTGTGTGTGCAGTTAGAAGAAGTTGCAGATTCTTTTCACGTATCATTTTTATTTCTATTCAACTGTCAAAGGATAGACTATAAATAACTTGCTTTGCACATCAGAAACAATATTTCCACCGTGTAGGTTGTTGTGGACACTTCTATGACAGAATGAAGAAAAGGTTACAAAAACGGAAATGGCTGGGAAACTCGGCAGCATCTGTGGAGAGAAATCAGAGTTAGTGTTTTGGGTCCAGTGACTCTTCTTTAGAACTGGACCTGAAACATTAACTCTGCTTTCTCTCCACAGATGCTGACAGACCTGCTGAGATTGGCCAGCCATTTCTGCTTTTGGTTTCTGATTTCCAGCATCCACAGTTCTTTTGTTTTAATTTTGTTACAAAGAGGTTGGTTGGTGTTCAACAGTCAACAGCAGTTACAAAAGTGCCACAAATGTGCTTGGAAGGAGTTGGCCTTGATTAAAAAATTTCATTAAGAGCAGCAAAAAGACATAAAAGATGTAAACAATTCAAAATGAATTTTAGTAGACAAACAAGTCAAGAAAAATCTTCACAAAATAATAATTTATGTTTCCAAAATCTTAAGTTATATATTAATTCTGGTTTTAAGAATTTTTTCTTAATGAGTTCTAATCACAGATGAACTTTAAGCTTCACCATAATGGTAGGTTTAGGAAAACATGCAAGCCAATTAATGGTGCATCATAGCTTTAAATAGTGTAATTTCAAACTGAATGCAATAATCGAAATCCTTAAAAACTCTGTATAATACAGTGCAATTTTAAAATAGATACAACCAATAAGGGTTACTCCAACTTGGAGCCTGCTGTTTGAGTCCTGCAAGGAATATAGATTTGTACTTGAAGTTATACTAATTCATCCAAAAGATGCATGGATCTATATCCAAAAGAACAGAGGTAAAAATTGTATTTTATGGCTTAGGACACATTTCTTAAACTCGAATTCTAACAATCTTATAAGGCAAATGTTTAGCACAATGCGAGTGTTCAGTGCAGATAAATCCATTCACACTGATTTTTATTTTACTGCAGTACACTCAACATTCATAGTTTGGATTCAGAATTCAAAAGTCATTGCTGGGGTTCAGAGGTCGATAAAGGCAAATGAATATTTGTGCCTGGTATAATGTGTTCTCCTTGCCCATCAATAAGGGGGTCCCATTGATCAAAATCTCTCTCAAGACCTGTAAAGTGAATTTTGATATTGAAGTTAAATCCCGAAACAATTAAGTAAAAAGGAAGCTTTTGTCTGTCACAATGGTAAATGTTTGATTCACATCGAGAACTATATATTCTCGAGTGGGAAACTGTTCTTTACGGAGGTGTTTCTCCTCATTTCACATATACAACCTTTATTACACACATTATACATAAGAGGACAGAACTTTATGGTACTGTTTTAAAATGTGTGTCATCATTAACATTTCGCAATTTTCAGAAAATTGGTTTCCAATGGGAAGTATTTAATATTTGCACAACCCTTAAATCACAATTTCAAAAAAAGAATGATTCAGAATGACTAGATGTTGGAAACTCCAAAACAATTCATTGTAAATTAAAGAAGAGGCGCATTTCTGTAGTGTTCTAGGATTGCATCAGTCTCACCTTTAGTATTGTGTCATATATATAGAATTACTACCTAATTGTTCTGATACCCGAAATTAGAAAACTATTTATTATTGAAATACGTAACCAAATTAATACATTTTATTTACTCACCCAAGTGTCTTTGCATGAATGCTAAAGAAGCTTTGTTGCTAATATCAATCGCTGTTAGGGGATCTATTGTTCCTTTTAATTGAAAAATCTTTCCAAGGAAAGAGCCAGTCAAAAATGTAAAATCAGGGAAGCTCTGATGTACTGTTCCTCTATAAAGAATCAAAGAAAGAAGAACAATTCAATTCTGCCTGCAATCCAAATATGAAACAAGGTACTTTTAAGAAATAGCAACATTTTTCTCTAATCATTCTATGGATGAGTGTGTCACTGGTTATGCCACCACCACTTGATCATTGCTAATGACCCTGGAGAAAAAGATGGTGAGCTGCTTTCTTGAATTATATATTAGCACGGATAGAAGACTGGCTGGTTGGCAGAAAACAGTACGTCTAAACGGGACTTTTTCAGATTGCCAGGAAGTCCTGTCGGTGACTGTACATAACCCTCAACTTTTTACAATTTGTATCTATGACTTAGATGAGGGGTCAAAAATATGCTAGTTAAATTTGTAGATGTTACAAAGACAGGTAGAAAAGTATGCTGTGAAAATGATGTAAGGAAGGTTTAAAATGATATATGTTATGCAAGTGGTCAAAATCCCGGCAGATGGTGTCTATTGTGGGAAAATGTGAAGTTGTTCTCTTTGGGAGGATGAATAAAAAAGCAAAGCATTTTTAAAATCGTGAATGACTGCTGAATTCTGAGGTGCAGAGGGATGTTAGTATTCTAGTGCTCAAATCCCAGAAAGTTAACAGGTTCAGCAAGTGATAATGGCAGGTAATGCAATGTTATTCTTTATGAGATGAACTGAACTGAAAAGGATGTTATGCTTCAGTTATTCAAGGCATTGGAGAGAGCACATCACAAATACTGTGTGGGGTCTTGGTCTCCTTATTTTAAGGAAGGATTTAATTATGTTAGAGGTGGTTTGGAGGAAATTTATTAAATTAATACCTGGAATGACTGACTGTTGAGAAGATTGGACAGGTTGGGCTTATTTTCATTAGAAAAGGGAAAAAAGTGATTTGATTGAAGTTTAGAAGATCCTGAATGGTCTTGACAAAGTGGACAGAGAAAGAACATTTAGTGGGTGAGTCCATAACTAGGGGACATGGTTTTAAAATTAAGCTTTGCCTTTTTAGAACAGATGAAGTAATTTTCTCAGATTCAGAGATATTTTGGAGCTTTTTGCCTTAGAAGTGGTTACAGTTATCAAATCTTTTTAAGGTGGAAATAGATGAAGTGTCCTGCCTTACAAGCAGCTAAGGTTAATGGAGGTAGATGGGAATGTGGAATCTGGTACACACACAGATCATCGTGATCATAGCGAATAGGGGATAAGGCTTGAAGGACTGAATAGCCAACTTGTGCTACCAATTTGTATGTCTCTATTGTGATAGTGTAAACTTCAGAACATTTAATAACTGTTCATGGATTGAAAGAGGCAGGAATAACTCTGGAATAAACTGTTAAAGGACAAAGACAAACTGTTATACAGCAATCAGCCATGCCTGGAAGAAAAAGAAGTAGTCAAAGCTACATAAACAAAACTGTTTTAACAACCTGATTGATAACTGGCTGCCTAATACCACAAAACTTCTCTGCTGAGGAATTTAAGGAGTTAATGACAAGACAGGCTGTGTTTCAAATAGAGAGTCAATGCCAAATATAATAAGGAACAGGGAAGCTACTTCTGAGAAGGTGGCAAGGTGCAGACTTGACAGCTGCAGAGGAGTAGTCAATATTTTAGATGAAACAATCTGAAGGATTATCAATAATGTCACACCATAAACTTGAAGGGCAGAAAGTTGTATAAAAATTCAACTCCAGGATTCTTCAGCGGCAGAACTTTGAAGATTAACACTGCACAAGGATCGAACCTTGGACACATCCAGAGACAGACACACTGCCGGTTGAAATTATAGGTAAATTCCACCATTAATTGGGTAATAGCTAAATTGGGTTTGTGGGGCTTAACTTGCCTACTCAAAAGATCTTATTTGGTTGTTGCAATAAAGTTCAAGTCATTGTTTCAGTATTTAATTATCTGGGAGATTTCTTAAGAAGAAGCCAAATTAAAGGTAGCTGTGGTAATTTAACCATTGGAATATGCTTATATGCTCATCACCCCTGTCCTCACCGATGAAAGTCGGTTCATTTTTCAGATTTAAAATGTTTGTATTTAAGATCCTACAAACAGTCTAATTCTCCTGTCTCTTTGATGTCATACAATGACCACCCATCTCTATCCCTGAAAACATCCAACTTTTCTCTAGATTCTTACCTGTCGTATCATTAGCAGCTTTGTCTTACGCTCACCTTAGCCTCACATATCAATTCCCTGCCCAAATTTAACTTCTAGGACCCTCCCTACTGACCATATCTTTCACCAAGCCTTTGGCCCTCTCCTTTGGCTCAGTGCCACAGCTATTAATGACTTTGAGGTGGCTAACTAGGTCACAAAAGTTTAATGATCAGTTAGAAAAGTTTGCCAAATTGCAGAAGTGTTGGCAACAGTCACATTTTGGTTAGGACACTGGCAAGACTCCCTTGCTCTCCTCTGAATATAGTGCTGGGGATCATTTATGCCCATGTTTGCTTCAATGCCACAATCCCAATAAAATAATTAATCTCTCACACCCTGGCACAAGGTTGTCCTTGGCATATGCGTCACCTCTGGCTCCTAGAATGGGCATAGTTTTGAATGGATATGGTTGACAAGTAAAGTACCAGCACATTTACTCACATGATTGTAATCATTTTTCGCTGTATTTCAACTGAATCAAGTTTTTTCATTTTCAGGATATTAGTAACCCATTGGAATTTTTCGGAGTTGATGAACAGTATTGGCTTCTGTACCTTTGTATACACCTCATCCTCCAGTGGGAACATCCATGCATCTAATGCCACTCCACATCTATTTAAAGAAGTAGTATAGAATTGTTAATTATCCCCACACATATCATAAACATATTCAGCAGCTGATGCAATCAGATTTTGCCCAAATCATATTTAAATCAGAGTATCAAAGGCAATTTCTGGCTTGTTTTTCTCAAAAAACATAGCGATTTAGCTTCAAATTGTAGTCCAGTTAATGCATGATTATTTTACTGCAACTTTCCTGTGTTATTTGTACATTTCAGATCTATAAACCCTAACATGTTAGTTTTTTTTTAAAATAATTGGCTTACCCACAAACTGGCCATGGAAAATGACATATCTTTTTACTCATAGGTACCTTCTAAGCCCCTATTTATTCAATTTAATTAACTGTAGTTCGTCGTTGATGTAACTCCATGGAGGCCGGTGATCTGTCACAAAGCCACCTTTATTTACACGTGCACAGTATATGGAGTCTGACTAGTTAGCTCAGAGTCAGTCCCGAGAGTGGGGAGACTCCTGTTTATATCTGTCAGCCAGGGCTTCCTGATTGGCCCAGGTAAATAGCCCCAAACAGGGAACTCACTCTGAGATTCATCTGGCCAATGTCATTCCAATCACTACACTCATTGTCGTTTATTGCAAGAAAGTGAGGTGTAAAAGTACAGAACATTTACAGTGCCTGAACAGAGCTTTGGTGAGATCATATGTGGAGCGGTGTGTGCATTTTTGGCCTTATTTCAAAAAAGGATATAATTGCTTCAGATGCAGTTCAGAGAAGGTTCACTCAACACATTCTTAGGTTCAGAAAGTTATGAATGAAGGTTGAACAAGTCGGGCCTATATCCATTGGAATTTAGAAGAACGAAGGGTCATCTTCTTGATATGTGTAAGATCGTAAGGGACTGGATGCAGTGAATACTGGAAGGATGTTTTTTCATGTGGGGGTGACTAAAACTAGGGGACATTGTTTTATGAAGGGTGCATTTGCGAGAAAGAGTGAGACAGCGAGAGCGAGAGAGGGGGAGCGCAAGAGAGAGAGCAAGAAAATTTCTTTTCTCCAAATGGTTGTTAGAGTCTGGTATTCTCTTCCCCCAAGATACTGGAGATTGGTTATTTAAGTTTCTTCAAGGCAGAGTTAGATTTCTAATTTTTGCAATTAGGCAGAATGTACCTAATTTAACCTCCTTGCTGTTGCATCTAATTTTTACTGCCCTTTATTTTTGTGCTGCTAGGAAAATGACCAAATTACATTACTGCCTAAATAATTTACATGGATGACAAACCATGAGACCAGGCACAGACTCTTATGAAGATTCACTGAACACTGCATATTCTGACATTACTTTTGCGTCAAGTGCTCTCTTTCCTACAGTAGTGTACAATAAGATAAGCAATTAATTGCATGAAAGAAAAAGGAAGTAGACTGCTCAGGAACAGGGGAGTTTAAACTAGTTTAAGATGATATGGAAATGCAAAGAGTTCCTGGAAATGAGCATTATTCAGGATTTTAAACATAACTGTATCACTTAGCAGCTTTTTTATCCGTTAGTAGTATAAAAACAAAGACAAAAATTGCTGGAAAAGCTCAGCAAGTCTGACAGCAAATGTGGAGAGAAATCAGAGTGGTCGAGTGACCCTTCCTCAGAGTACTCACAATAGGATAAACAGTTGACTAAATGGCAACATTGTGTTTAAAAGTGCACTGACCATTGTGCATGTCAGAAATAGACATTTCAATATTCTACCAGTTATGCCTCAAGTGGTGTTATAGTAGCTATGTGCTATAGCGATTTTCGTTTGTGAAGTCCTATTGTGTTTAGTTCATTTTACTAAACTATCCTGAATTTCCAAACCCTTGCCACCAGATGTCTCCTCAACAACAAACAACCTTGTACGTGCTCATGAAAGTAAACTCAGATGAACATCGTGACCCCTCCCGGTTTGTCTTCTTTGGCAATCTCAACCTGTTGGATCCACTGCCAAATTCTCTCCCTTAAACTTCTGCTCTTATTCTAAAACCTTTTTTGATATTCATGGTATTTCTGAGGGAGTGCCATCAAATAAACAGTGCTCCCAAAAGTGATCCCATTCCTACAAAATCCTGCACCCTTCTCCCTCTTCGCTCTTTCATTGCTTCCTCCATCTGGATCCAATTCTCATCCACTCTCTCAACCGTGCTCAACTCAAATAGTGCACCTTGGCGTCAACTTCCAACACACACCTTGAGAGATCAGCAAACATCAAAAACAAGATGTTAGGTACAATTCTAGATCTGATGCTGAATTACAAACTATTTAAAGAGACGGTACATAGACTTTTGAAATAGAAGAGTTGAGGCCCATAAGGAGCTGACATGAAAGGGGAGTTTAGCCATCTCAATCTGGGCAGATTAACCAGGATTCTATAGAATGGCAGGGCAACTTTGGAGGGATAAACAAACAGGAGGCTGGAAGAACACAGCAAGCCAGGCAGCATACGGAGGAAAGGAGAAGAAGTCAATGTTTTGGGTATTACCCTTCTAATACCCGCAATGTTGACTTCTCCTTTCCTCCAGAAGCTGCCTGGCTTGCTGTGTTCTTCCAGCCTCCTGTCTGTATACCTTGGATTCCAGCATCCACAGTTTTTTTTCTCTATTACCTTGAGGGTAGACTGGCCTCTACTACTTACATTCTTAATTCTTAAAAAATTGAAGAAGTAAGTGGCAATGGACTTGGAATAAAACAGGGCAAAAAATTAAATTAATATATTTGTGGAAGCATTTATCAAATGTTTCTGTATTGACTTAGATGATAAAATTAAATAGAAAATGATACAGATTAAAAAGGAAAGCAGAAGTTTTAGGACAAACAATTCTGGGTAATCCAAGGAGGAGGATGGGAAAAAGTTATGGCTGCAAGAGCTGCTCCTTTTTTTGAGGTATTTTCAGTGTTGGAGCTGATTTCCTCAAACTCCAGGAGCAATAATCACTATTTTATAAGCTGTTGCATGGTTTTGGAACTTTGGATAAAAAGGGATCAAAACACTTTAGAAAGGAGGAAGAGAGACAAAGCAGTGACTACGTGGGAAGTGAAACAAACGAAGAACTGAACCTGCACAGCTACCTGACCCAGCAACGAACCTGCACTGCTAACTGCTTCTGCTGTTTGGTTTCAAGTATCTCCAGCAGGTTTTTCACGCAGAGGGTGGTGCGAGTATGGAATGAGCTGCCAGAGGAAGTGGTGGAGGCTGGAGCAATTGAAACATTTAAAAAAGGTATCTGGATGGGTATATGAATAGGAAGGGTTTACAGCAATATGGGCCAAATGCTGGCAAATGAGACTACATTAATTTAGGATATCTGGTCTGCATGGACAAGTTGAACCAAAGGGTCTGCTTCAATGCTGTACAGCTTTATGATTTTATGACCATCGTTGTTAGAAATGTTCCTATGTTAGGTGAATGTAAAAAGATGGAGAACTTCTCCAGCAAAATGGACCTAACCCAACTACAGACTGCAATTTACAATGATGCTTAGTAAGATCTTTGGTTGATGCCAATTTATGGATAACTAATAATAATCCCTTTGAAATTTATCTATAGTTGCAGTTCTCATTTAATTCCACTACAGTTCTTACTTTTTGACAGATAGCTGTGGGAATGGATACTTTAATATACTAGCTAACCAAACTATAGTGTCCACTTGAGCAATTTTTATATAGAATGAACAATTGGGAAGTTGCTGATGGATGGTCAACATTAACACAACTTTCTTCTCGCCACAAATGTCATCAGACCTGCTAAGTCTTTCAAGAATTTTATTTTTATTTCACACATCTAGTATACGCATTTCTTGTTGTTTTTGAACTAGAATTGGAAAATGCTGGTAAGTTCTGAGGAAAGGTCATTGACCTAAAAGCATTCGCTCTGTTACTTTCTCGATAGTTCATAGCTGAACTACTGTGTATTTTCAGTTCCCATTTTCATTTGATGTCCAGCATCTGAAAGATTTTACTTTTATCTCTCAAGTTATTTGGTCAGTTTGGTGTACAAATGTTTAATCACACAATAGCACTGTTATTTTCTATTTACAGCATTCAAGCAATTTTACAAGTCCATAAGTGAAATGAGACACACGTTTGGCAATGAAAACATTAATTAAAGGGCCAACTGTTTATTAGCATGCAGTGTGCAGTAGGATGTTCACATCACTTTGGAAAACTGAAAGACATATTCTATAAACATTCACTACGTACCAGATCTGTCACAACTTACCCAAACCGAACATCTTTGCTGAGTGAATCAATAACTGTGGCTCCACCAAATGAGTGACCCATGATAGCTACTTTGTGCAGATCCAGAGAATCCTACAAAAAGAGAGTGTGAAAACTCTTATTAAAGTTCAAGCAATATTATGTTATTCATCATAGAATCATTAAATCCCTACAGTCAGAAAACAGGCCATTTGGCCCAACAGGTCCACACCGCCTCTCCGAACAGCATCCCATCCTGACTCATTCCCCTAACCCCGTATTTCCCGATGTCTAACGCAAACATCCCTGGACACTATGGACAATTTAGCATGGTCAGTCCATCTAGTCCGCACATCTTTGGACTGTGGGAGGAAACCGGAGCACCCGAAAGAAACCCACGCAGACATGGGAAGAATGTGTAAACTCCACACAGACAGTCGCCCGAGGCTGGAATCGATCCTGGGTTGCTGGCGCTATGAGGCAGCAGTGCTAAGCACTGAGCCACCATGCCGTTTTAAAATAGACCATTATTTTTTGAAAATGTCTTACTTTGAATCTGATTGCTTAACCTGTGATCAGTAAATTTCCTTCAAAGGTAATTTCCAAGTTGTTTCCAAATGCAAAATGCTTGAACCACTGCAGTTACACAACATTCCACAGAAGCTGGTTTTCCAGCCAGCTCAAGATTATGACTTGTATTGTTTTCAATGAAGCCAAGGAATCACTCTCTCTTAATGTCTTCATGGAGTGGCCTAGCAAAGGGGACTCTCGAATCTGATAAACCTTTATGCAGCCCAAGCAATTCAAGCTAGATTTCTGTATCAGTTTCTAATCACAACGAGGGAAGTACTTTGGACAAAAAAGTGTTTCTCTTTTGCTTCTAACCCTTTTAGCAGTTCCTGTTCAGCTAATCCCTGGGTATGTAGTCAATGTTATAGTAATAAACCATTGCATATGCAGCTATTTCAGCAGCCTTCATATTTTCTGTACTGAAAAAAATTGCTGGAAATCACAGCCATGGAGACAGCAAGTTAACATTTCGAGTCTAGATGACTCTTCATCAGAGCTGACGTGAAGTATGGAAGCAGGCAGCGTTTATGCAATAGTGGAATGAGGGGTGTGGAGTAGTGGGGAAGAAAGAATGTTGATAGTGCTGATTAAGTGATTGAAATGTGGGAATGGCAGAACAATGGTGTGTCTAACATATTTTCTGAAGCCGGTGCAATGCCAACATGAATCACTTTCATTGTTTTGAAAACTTACACAAATGCTTATGAGAATAGCCGGTTTATCAGGAATCCCAATTTATTGTACACGTAAGTTGTGAAACATAAATGATTTGTGAAGTAGACTGCTATTAGGCCTGACAAATACAAAACACATCATTCAGTGGTCAACAGATCATGACTGTTTGTCTTCTATAAAAATAATCTATTTTACAGTGCAATACTGATTCTTAAATGCTTTTATGTACAAAACCAGTTTGAGAAGGGTAAAAATAAGAGGGGGCAGGTATGGAAGAACACAGGGAACTAGCTTTTAAGCAATTTATACTTAATAGAATGGTGTGAAAGAACAGTCACAGGATAAAGGCCGTACAAATGAAATGACATCAGGCAAAGAGGGAGAGTGAATGCAGAAAAAAAAAAAAGAACAAATATAAGACAGTAGAAGGGAGAAATAAGAGAGTGGTATGTACCAGCAATATATACTAAGGCTATTGAACAGAACATGCAAGCAAAAAGCAAGCCATTCAACACCTGAAGTTTGCTCTACCAGTTAATAAGATCATTGCTGATCGGATTGTAATCTCAAATCCACATTCTTGCATACCCGGATAACCGTTCACCCTCTTGCTACCAAGAATTTTTCCACCTCTGCCTTAAAAATATTCAAAGGCTCCGCTTCCATCACCTTTTCAAGTCAGGAGTTCCAAAGATTCTCAATCCTCAGCGAGAAAAGAAACTTGACTTCATCTGCTTTTATTTGGGAGACCATTTAAACAGTTAACCCTGGTTTTAGATTCTCTCATAAGAGTAAAAGTCCTCTCCACATTCACCCTGGCCAGACCCCTCAGGATCTTAATCTAAACTCTAGCAGATACAAACCAGCATTTTAACCTTTCCTCAGAAAAATCCTCCTGATCCAGACTTTAGTCTGGTAAGCCTTTCCATTCTTCCTTAAATAAGGCAACAAATATTGCATACAGTATTCCAAACGGCGTTTCACAAGTGCCCTGTTTAACTGAAGCATAACCGTCATAGTTTTGTATCCATTACTCTTGCAATAAGTGATAACACTATTTGTTTTCTTAATTACTTGTTATACCTGTATACCAGCATCTTGTGATTCATGCAGTAGGACACCCCAATCTCTGTCTCAGAGCTCTCCAATCTCTAACCATTTGGATAATACCTTTTTGTGTTCTTTCTTCTAAAATGGGCAACCGCACATTTACGACATTATATTCTATTTGTCAAATCAACCTTTTTTAAAGTTTACTATCTGTCTTTGTCTCTTTAGCAGATTTGGCAACCATACGTTATGTCTTTTCATCCAAGTTAACTAGCTTATAAACAGTTGAGGTCCTGGTACTAATCCCCGTGTATGCCACTCCTTACCTCCTGTCAACCTGAAAAAGGCCCATTTAATGAGTAGTCTCTGCATCCTGTTAGCCAGCCAATCTACCATTCATGCCAATTTGCTACATCCTATACCATGAGCTTTTATTTTCATAATAAACTTTGATGTGATCATTTATGAAACGCCTTCTGGAAATGCAAGTACAATACATCCACCAGTTACCCTTGATGCCCAGCATGTTACTTTCTCCAAGGAGTCCAATAAACTGGTTAAACTTGATTAACTTATCTAAATTCTCTACTATAAACTTCTTTAATAATAGGAGTTCCTTGATTGGACCAGATTAGCAGCCCCAATCGGGGAGTCCTGGCCGACAGATATAAACAGGAGTATCAGTGGTTCTGTTCGTTCAAAGCTGGCTCTGAGGGAGCTTGATCAGTGTCAAGGACTCCTCCACAAGCATTCACTCCTCCACTACCAACACTCAGTAGCAGCAGTGTGCACTATCTACAAGATGCACTGCAAAAATTCACCAAAGATCCTCAGACAGCACCTTCCAAACCCAAGACCACTTCCATATAGAAGGACAAGGGCATCAGACATATGGGAACACCACCACCTCCAAGTTCCCCTCCAAGTCACTCACCATCCTGACTTAGAAATATATTGCCGTTCCTTCGCTGTCACCGAGTCAAAATCCTGAAATTCCCTCCCTAATAGCATTGTGGGTCAACTCACAGCAGGAGGACTGCAGCAGTTCAAGAAAGCAGCTCACCACGAAGGGTGACTTGGTGACAGGATACCAGCACCTGTGAAGTTATTTCAGTAGGCCCCTTGATTTACGAATTGGAGTTCTATAATAAATAGTTTAAATCTTGTGAACAATTTTGAGGGACACTTGCGTGAGCTTGATCTGGACCAGCTTTATGTATTTTAGTAATGAGTAGCCTAAACTGCATTCCTTAAAGGAATCACTGCTGGCCATTCCAAAGTTGGCCCCAAAATGGCTCTGCACTTTTTGCCACCAGAACAGGTGCGTAGTGAATCCTAAAGTCAAAAGACAGAAACAACGTGCATAAAACAGCAAGGGAGCTCACGGATCTAGCAAATTAAGTATACACAAAGAAAGAAGGCACAAGAAAATATATACAAAATAGTCAATGAAAAACAATGGAAGGTCTAATACAAAATGACAGAGAGAAAGAGACTGGAGACCTACACGGTTGTGGCTTTCTAGTATAAAGGAGGCTGCAATATAACTGTTCAGAATGACACTATAGAGATTACTATTGGCAAGTACAAAAGCACACAAAACAATAGCTGATCTACCATTTTATGGACACATCATTCATCAGACTCATTTTAAAATCTGTCTGTACTAAGGATTTGAAAGTGTCAAAGCACAGAACACAAAAAAATGTTCTCACAAAAGGAAACATGTATATGTTCACTCATGTATGTATTGACCAAAAAGCAGTTTAGAAGATTAGAAACAAATCATCTCTATGTGGGTACCATTGACATAGCCAGATGTTATTCACCCATCACCAGTTGCCGTGAGGCATTAGAAAAATGACATAAAAGCACAAAAGAGAATTGAGGGGATATGCTTATCAGGAAATACTGAGCAGAGTTCTCTTCAAAAAGAAAACAGATTATGCATTAACCTGATAGAAGACCTTAAAATTATGGAGGTATTTGATAAAGCAGATGTAGGGAAGGTGTTTCTACTCGAGGTAAACTCTATATTAGGAGCTATAAACGAGACAGTAGCTAATAAATCCAGAAGGAATTCAGGAGAAACGACTTCAGTGAGAGTAGTGGGAATATGGAACCTATTTGTACATAGGACTGAACAACTGTTAGTCAGACTGCGTGACTGTAATGGTTACCTTTCCAAAAGGGTATTAGTGGACGAGTTGGGTCTGAAGGAAAAACTGTATTTTAAAAACATTCCAACGTTCAAACCACAAAATTTGACCGTGTGTTTCTTCCCCCTTCAGCGTTACTAACTCATAGCACAACTTGTTCATACCTTCATTTTAGTGAAATCAAAATTCACTGGAACTATATTATTGACTGGTTTTCCCATGTTTATATCAGTAAGCAGATTTAAGGCCTTGATACACTCTTCCGCTCTCTGATGTACCTGCAAATCACAAAACAAACTAATCAATGGAGAATGTTAACTACTTTTAAAGGGTTTCAGGAAATTAAACAATATTAAGGAATACTTTTTAGCACATAGACAAAAGTCTTGGAAAGTTAAAAAAGCACAATGATTACTTAAATAGTATTATTCACTGAAAATTTAATGACAGTGGAGTTCATTAAAACTTTTAAAGAGGGGCAGCTACAAAGATTTAATTTGAATGGCTACATAAGAATTGGTACTCTCTAGGGTTTTGGTTTTCAATTTTTTACTGCAGTGGCCCTATTTGTAATTTACTTATCAGTTTTGATATTACACACCACAGCTGATAAAAAGTATAATGTGGTTATTCACCAGAATAATAAACTGCACCTTGTTCCTCAATGAGTCTTGCTCAGTTCCTAATCTGATGGACCAGAAAAGATTCTCTGCATACTGGTGGAAAAGTTTGGGACCCGCAGAAAATAGCAACTCAAGGCTTAAGACAAATTTTCATGTTCAATATGGAATATGTAGCTGTTAAAACTGAACTTCAACGGGAAAGCATCAAGATCAAGTGTAGGCTATTTGTGACAACAGCTCCTCCACGTCATATTATTTCTCCCAGTTAATAGACCCATGGACTTCCAAATGTGTGAATTCCCCATCTCAAAAGATATAGAAAGTTAGAGAAGAGGAGCCAGCCAGAACAAATCTCTAGTAGCAGTATGATCTATGAACACCTTTGGAAGTAAAAACAGATTGCAAACTCTTTGCTTTGGCAGAGGATATTGTGTATGCAAAACCTTCAATTATCAATTGTCAACAGCCAACCACAATATCAGGCCCAATTTCACAAACATAAGGATGATTATGTAACCAACTACTGCTGACTGGTTTTCCAGAAGTACTCCAGTCACATTCTGTCACATGTTCAATAATATGGCATGAAAGTGCATGTTCTGGTGTGAACAACAACAGGCATAGCCTGGTTAATTGGTGGCATTTTGGCAGGCATATCCATATCGGAAAACATTAGCTCTCAAATCCCACTTCGCCCTGCAAATTAGTTAAAATGTCTTTTGAACATTTACAGGAGCAAGAATTTTTGTTGTCATTTCCACTACACATGCACCCCCATATCTGGCTTTTCCCTACAATTCAAACACCAGTGCCTCTTTAAATGTAATCTACACCATTTTTCCTGAATGCGTCCAATTAGGCACTATTGTTTCAGTCAAGTGACCATAGAAAACACTGTTCTGGTGGATTTTGTAATGAGTGAACTACTCAGGAATAAACTGTATCTTTATTGGACTCTCCAAAAATTTACCTTCCACGTTCTGAGACAGCTAACTTATTGTAGATCTGGTTACATGGTTAATTTAATACAGTTTGATGTCAGACAAAAATAGGACTTCCAAATATGTTGTCACAAAATAATTTGCTTAAGTGAAAACCATAGGGGTGAAGGTCCTGAGGCTACAAAGCCTCATCTCTATTTTAAGAGTGCTGGTACTAGTGCTTGTTGCCTTTTTATGACATATCTTTTGACTTTACACAGTCATTAAAATTAACAAATATCAGGATCCATGATTTGTAGGGTCTCACTAAATTTCAATTGGTACTTAGACAACATTCGGTTTTGATAGTGCAGTTGAAACTCCACAGCTGAAGAATATTAACAGAAGTCTGTTTCATTCTAAGAGAATGCAAAAAGGAAATAGTAATGTGGCAAATAGGTATTTATATATTCTGGGGAGACAGTGACATAGTGGACAAGCAATCCAGATCTCCGGGTTAAGGTTCTAGGACATGGGGTTCAAATCCCACTACCATGGTGATGGTGAAATTTGAATTCAATACAAAAATTTGGAATAAAGAGCTAACCTAATGGTGACCATGTAACCACTATCGATTGTCATAAAAATCCATCTGGTTCACTAACGTTCCTTAGGGAAAGAAATCTGCTGTCCTTACCTGGTCTGGCCTACATGTGACTCCAGACCCATAGCAATATATAGTTGACTTCTTCACTGCAGGATGGGCAATAAATGCTCGCCTAGCTGGTGATGTTCATGTCCCATGGATGAATAATAAAAAAAACAATCTGCAGTGACTGTATTGTTAAACACTAGTTTGATGAATATGCTGCAAATTAGTTATTTGAACTTATACTGTTCTGATTTGATATGCATCGTTTCATTATGCAAACAGGTCAGATTAATGCACAGTAATAGATTTAATTCAGAAAACCATGATTATAAAGTTTGACTTTAAAAACACCCATCAAGTAGTTACCTACTTTTTTAAAAGTGAAAAAGGTAATGGTGCTCTGCGTCACCATAATGTATGTTTACTATAAGGTTTTGGAGTAGATTTGTAGCTTGGGTTGTGGGTGTTGAGGTTGGTTGGCTCGCCGAGCTGGTTTGTTGTTCCGCAGACGTTTCGTTACCGTGCTTGGTAACATCCTCAGTGCAGCTTCTGATGAAGCATCGGTGTGTTTTCCCGCCTGGCTTTTAAACTCTGGGGTCCGTTGCGATGGATTGCCTCACTTCCGGGTTTCCTCCGTAGTGGAATGTATATGGGGTCATCAGAGGTTGCACTGAGGATGTTACCAAGCACAGTAACGAAACGTCTGCGGAACAACAAACCAGTATGTTTACTATCTCCACCACAGAGATAGTCCAACATGCAAGAATAGTTTCCCAATGCCTTACCTGGTCATTCCGTAGTGGGAATTCTTGTTCTCCCTCTTCAAGAGGCTTATAGTAAAGCCATTTCCTCTGCAACTGATCCAAAGGAAGTGCAGGACTGCTGGCCGAGATTGATTCTCCTACTTCATTGACTGTTTTAGATTTCTCTTCAAAGTAGTAGGTGGCTGAAGCTGACCCATCCCTGAGAAACGAACAGAAAGTCAATTTTTCTGCAGCAATTTTCTTAATAGGTAGAATTAAAATTAAATTTTTGAATCAACAAACTGACTAAAAGCTCAGTCATAATTTTATTGAATGATGGAGCAAACTTGAAGGACTGCCTGGTCTATTCTGCTCCTAGAGATAGAAGTTCAGGAAATAGCAGGCTGAATTGAAAATAAAATTCATTGGTCCCTCAGCTCTATTATATCTTCCGTTAATTTGCTAATACGAGGTTAATCACAAGGCACGTGAGCATCTGGGGAAGCTGGTAAAATGTTAGCTGAATCCTGATCTTTACTTGACCCATTACTACACCTTCTTTCATTACACCATCAAGGAATCAAGGGATCTGGGGAAAAGGCAGGGAAGTGGAGGTGAAGATATTAGATCAGCCATGATCTCATTGAATGGCACAGCAGACTCAATGATTTGAATGGCCTACATCTGCTCCCGGCTGACGGTTTTATTATGAAATAATAATTTAGTAATATAATCTCAGCTGTCTTCTATCCTATCACAGACCTTTCCTCTTGAACTTTTCCTCATCCTCCTTGCTTGAGCATGTAGCCTTAACTTTTTCTGGCTCTGGGAATTCCTCCTTTAAGATTCTCAACTCCTTGACCAACTACCCTGATATGTGGCTAAGTATCAAATCAAGTATAATAAGTAAAGCACCTTGATGGTATAAAAAATACAAAGTTGCTACTATTATACAAATGGATCAAGAAACATGGACCCATAGACTACTGAATAAACTTCTGCCAAAATTCAGTATCTGTCATTATTAGCCATTCTTGTAAAACACTCATCAATTAGTGGTGAAGAAGAGATATAACACGAGTTCCAATTTTCCACAAAGTGCTGAACAATTCATGCCATTCCAGTTAATTTCAACAAACCCAAAAACTTCCAATTTTGCCAGGAGTCCCTCCACCGAAATGAAATGTCTTGTATGAGATTGATGGGGACTTGTGTTGCAAACTAACTTAGTCCAGTTGCTGCTAACTCATGTCGTAACTACTTTGTTAGTGATTAGACACCTAGCACGATGTAACTTTAAAGCCCAGAAAGGGAACAATATATTGAGTCTCCCTTTCCTAGGTAGTAAATTATTCCTAGAGTTTTTCTAAAACTTGTCATGCATCCTTTCAGTATTTTTGAGCTAATCTTATCATCCATATTTCCTATTAATGTTGGAAGTTCGGAATGCAAATCTGTTTTGATACCTGGATTTCACTCATGGTAACTTTGGGACACAAGTAAAAACGTTCGTACATTTAAACACACTTTCCTCCATATTCACATACTACCATTGCGATGATTCCCAAATACAACTTTTTTTACAATATCCTCTTTCTGTTTGGACATTTCAATTTTTTTCCTTACTTCTTTCTCCTTCCCCCACCCCCCTTCAATTTTTCTTTTTGCATCTAATCAAGACTCGGGAACACTATTTCCTTCTCCACTATTTGCTCTGTTTCTTTCTCTATCTTTTGATTAAGATAAGTTATCAGCTACGTTAGTGAGATGGGATGTTGATACTACTCTGCCATTATAAATCTGCAATCTTGCAATTTGTGTTGTTATCTGAAAGGGGAGGTTAAAAAAAAATATAGAACAGGCTGCTTGCTGCAAGATGTGCCACTCCAGCAATTTATTTTGGCAACTGTAGTTGCAATTTCATAGCTCTTAACAATATGCACAGGAGCACAGGGCTGTAAAATACCACCTGCAATCCATCTGACCCATGTCAGCTACTGCCATATTAAAACATACTGAATTAAATTTTGTGGAGATTGTCCCTCCCACTCACAGTAACACAAACATCATCATGGAAACATTAATCTAACAACAGTCACAAAAATGAGCAGCACTTGATGACAAACAGGGAGGACAAAAAAAAACAGAAGTGGCATTACTGTAAGTACACAGCAACGACACCGAGGAATCACAGCTATGCACTTTACTCATTAGGGAATCAATCGATACAGAAAGCTAATATGACCAAAATAAATTAAAATGGAGGAAACAATCATTAATACTTTGTATTTGCATTAATATGTGCAATTGATATATAATCAGCAATTACTAATTCATTTCAAGTCAAAATAATCCATAGTTAATTAAATACTAAACCTCTCAAAATTCTAAACAAAAACAGAAATTGCTGGAAAAGCTCAACCGGTCTGGCAGCATCTGTGGACAGAAATCAGACTTAATGTTTCGGGTCTAGTGAGCCTTCCTCAGAACTGAAACATTAACTCTGATTTCTCTCCAAAGATGCTGTCAGATCTGTTGAACTTTTCCAGCAATTTCTGTTTTTGTTCCTTTAAGGAATACTTCGTCAACCACCCCTCTGGCATATATGCTGCTGCAATTGGAGAATGTAGCTTGGGAAGATCTTTCAGAGCATCAACAGTAGCACAGCCCAGTGGCCAATTTGTGTGTTTATCACTTGGTGTTACAACAGTAATTTTTCTACAATCATTATGTATATTTGTAAAAAAAATGAAATAGGCACAGTCTATTTATCATGAACCACACTTATAATAGGGAACAATATCAGCTAACATGAAGACTGTGATAGGAAGTCAAACTCCAATTTGTGATGCGCAGTGGCTACACATACATTTCCATCCCTTTAGAATTACCAAGAGTGGAAAAGTAACAAATATTTAGCTTGGAAGATAATACTTATTACATACAGGATTAACTGTATCCTTTACATTTCCTCTAGTGAGCAGCTTTTGGACAATGTGCTTAGATTGTGAATGGGCATTCATGATAATTAAAGATGACAATTGCTATGTTCCCAGCTGACGGCAATACTGAATGAGTCAGATCCCAAGGTGAAAACTGACTTGATAGATCATAAGTTCACCTTTTGAAGTTAGTTACCGTGCCTAGTCACTGAATATATTCACACGAGGCTGCCAAAGCTCTTTTACAGAAGTACCCAAATTTATTACACAAAAGAAAACAGTTTTAATATTTCCCCCTGCAATATTCTTTATAGATACTCAATCCTAGTGAAGTGGCACTGCTATTGTAATTCTTTAACTTCTTATTTAACTGATTCTATCCAGATTTAACAGCCTAGATACTTCTTTTCAGTTCTGAAAGTTTGAAAAATTTACACACTGTTTCTCTGCCTGGAAACATCACAAACGAATCCAGTCTTGACGAAGGGTTTCAGCCCGAAACGTTGACTTCCCTGCTCCTCGAATGCTGTCTGACCTGCTGTGCTTTCCAGCTCCACATTTATTGATTCTACCTTCTAGCATCTGCAGGCCTTAGTGTCTCCAAGTCTACTCTTCTGCTGATATGAAGCAGTTCTTTTGAACTGAACTCAAACCACTAGTGGCTCCTGGTCTTATTTACATGTATGTCATAAAAGTTCACTTTTGTAAACACTGCATCTATTAACAGTACAGGTATTTTGTAAAGCTCTTAATTTCATACCTTCTTTCAAAATCATGTCTTTAGTCCACTGTTCCAAATTAATTTGATCCTTTGTTTTTCCTCAAGTGTCGATGGTAGCCATCATGTGGAGGTGCCGATGTCAGACTGGGACAGACAAGGTCAGAAGTCACAGGACACCAGGTTATAGTTTCTGCCTATAAATTCTGTGCCGTTGGCTTCACTTCACCTGATGAAGCAGCAGCCCTCCAAAAGTTCGTGATTTCAAATAAACCTGTTGGACTATAACCTAGTGACTTCTGACGTTTTGTTTTGAAAAAGGAAGTTACCTTCACAGAATTGAAGCCATACATCCATTTATCCTCTACTTTAAAATCCAGATGAGAATCATATTTTATACACCTTTAATCGCATAATTCACTGATAATCACAACATTTGTGCGTTCTGGAGAAACTAAAGTTTATAACATTATTCCTTTGGTGTTGGAAGCACAAAATACTAGCTGTACACTTCATGGGTCTCTATAATAATACATTTTCACATTTCTGCTCTTACTACTTAGGTGTGGTGAACACCTTTGAAAGATCATTAAAAGATTTCTTTTGAGTGTACAAGTGTTAGTTAAGAAAGCCGTTCAATCTTATTTTAAAACACACGATCTAATACGTCACCAGTGACCAAAACACACACATTCACATAATTCTTTGCAAACCAAGATCATAAGATGATCATCCAACTGGTGTATTACATAATTTTACTGCAAGCAGAAAATAGCTGAAAAGACCTAATGTGCCCGAGCAACATAATCCATAGTTAGGACTAGAAACAACAGGCACACAGTAGTAATGCAACACATAGCTTTCACTTGGCAAAATCTTTACCAACTCATGAGCAACCTAACTCATACCTATCCACTGGCTTTTGTTCAAACAAGATGTTTCATGCAAAGGAAGCAAAATGTTGCACATACAAGGCAAACCGTGGAATGTCGGATTTTGTAATCAATGATCTGCTTCATCCACAATTAAATTGGCTGATCAGTGGAGGAGACAGGTGCTACAGTTGATCACAATTTTATAACAGCATTGCAAAGACTCCAGAAAACAAAATGATGAAGTGACTAAGTTAAGAGTCATATTGACAGTAATCGACTTCAGGCTTAAAAACAGTCTAAAACCTGACCATACAAAGTTAGACCTGACTGCAAAATATTACATACATCAGCCAGAGAATAGACAGAGTTTTAACTGTTGTTTTCAACTTCACCGCAGCTTCAAGTTGATGATTCTGTAGTTCTACTGTTGATCATGTTTACATGCCATTCATTATACCAGAACTGACAACACAAACAAGGCAACTAGTTTAAGCACTGTTGAGGTTTAATGCCCTCTCCTAACTGGTTTGGCAGTGACCCATGAAATCTGTCTTTGCCCTTAACAATAAAACATGTCCACATCAGCAAACTATTCCTGCTGAGGGGCATCAACAGCATCATTCCTTACTTTTTACTTGTTTGGTTTGTGTGGAATAAAAAAGGAGTCTTGAACCACTTTGTAATT